AACTGTGTGAACTCTTCCTTTACCCGCACCACAAACATCCCTGTTGGTATGTAGAAAAGGATTAACCTTCATTTTGAAATTCATGTGATCAGACTTCAGATCATCAGGTTTTATGTCTGTTTGTTAAATCCTCACATTTCTTAGATCCAAGTGAAATATACCAACCACGTCCCACTGGACTTCCTGCAGAAATAGAACCAAAGTTCCCTCCAAAGTGCACAGATCACACAGTTGATTACACCTGTTCAGGTAAGTGGAACGACCAGAAGTGGAGACTTTCAGCAACATTATAAGAAGATCTACATGGAAACAGATGTACAGTTTAAACACTAACACTGTATTAAAACAGTCAGCGACGGTGAAGGTCTGTTTTACTTCAGACTGAAGGTCTGAATGGTGTTTTTGCTGTGAGAGGACTGAGCTGCTGCTTTGTGCTCTCTGGGATTCTGTTCTGATTTTTTATTTTCTCTGAATTTGTCTAAAGTTGAATCTAAACCTAAAGGACAACTGCTCATCCACACTGAAATACTAATTCCAGTTGCTGTAGAAAACATGTCACACTTGTGTCTCCTCAGAAAGTGGAAAAGCCTCCAAGAACCTGTCTGAGCTGGAGCCTTTCACAGACTACAACTGTACGGGTCTGATTAAGGTCAATAACATCTTCATAAATAAGACAACTCCACTGATCCCCGTCAGGATCGACTGTAGTAAGTTTGATATTAACTCATTGGAGGTAAAGTTTGTGTCCTCAGACAGTGAGGAGCAAGTCACAGTAACAGGTAGAGGATTCATTGTTGCTGATATCAACGGTGTCCCAACAGATTTCACAATAAAAGACATAAAGAAAAAGGCGAGCAACACTTCCATTGAGCTGAACTGGGAAACAACCAGTGACAACTGCCAAGTTGACCTCACTAAACTTCAGAACCTTTCTCATATCTGCAGCTGTGGGAAAAGTAAAAGTAAAAGTAAGTAAAATAACTTGGAGTCACTCTGCCTTTGTGTTCTGTTCACAGCTGTGTATTTTTAGGACTTTGTAGAGATTAAATGTAAGTGTTTAAATCTTCAGTGAGCCTCTTGCATACAGATTTTATTTGTGCATTTTAGCCCATTAAAGTCAGTGTCAATGATCCGTCATGTCACATTGTGGTTGACATTGTTGATAAAATACACATATACAGTATTATAGTGAACAAACACTGAAATGTCAGAGTTTGACCACCTTTTTCTACAGAAGACAGAAACATGTGGGTGTACAGATGATCCACTGGTTTGAAACAGTTCCCTGCAGAAAGAGTGATAGAAGCAGTTTCTCAGTCTGCTGCTCATATAGTCCACAGTGAATGCTGAGGTTTGAGCTGGCAGGAGCACAATCAGAGCTCTACAGCAGCAGGGACACGTGGAGGTTCTTTAAGAGGAACCTGACAAACACACCAGAGTGTTCCTGTTCAGCTTTAACATGACATTCAGTCATTTAAGTCTCTTCAGATGGACCTGCTGTTACTAAACCACACACCAGAAAGCTGCTGATTAATATTCTGTTACAGATGCTGACAAAGTGACTCAACCTTATTATGGAGGAACATGTAGATTTGCTGGACTCACACCGTTCACTGACTATGACTGTAACATTCAACCCACCTACAACAACGAGGAGACAGTTCCTCATCAGACAAGTTTTACCGTCAAAACTGCTGCTGGAAGTAAGTGACCAAGAAAATATCAGATCACTTCACTGAAACACACAAGACAAGATGTCTGTCTGTTTATTCATCCACATGAAACTCTGTGTTGCTGTGTTTTCTTTGACCATCTAGTGAAGATCAATCTGTTGATGATAAAGTTAAAACCTTTTAAAACACTTCAATGTTGAAACTGTGAAACTGTTTCAGAAGAAAACTGACGTCATGTGATTGACAGAAATGCAACTCCATTCTGTCAGCACATATGTTGAACTGGAGGCTTTAAGTCAGTCCTTCACTTTAATCAATCAGTTCATAATTATCTAAGGTCATTGTTTCAAATATAATCTAAATGTAAAATAATTCTATTGGTTATTGTAGAAAGTTGATAACAAATGAAGGCAGATGTTGACTCTCAGAGAGCACAACATGCCCTGATATTACCACCAGTAGGGCCAATACATTCTGATCAACAAGTGTTCTCTGATCATTAGCCAAGAGGGCAGCGGTCAGCGTGTCCCAGAATCACATCAGCCTCATCGTTCATCATTGAAACAAACCTCAGAGAAAAAAACCAAGTTCGGTTTTTTAAAAAAAAATAAAATTAGAATTAAAAAATGAAGTTTTTGCAACCAATACACCAACACACTAATAAGTACCGACACCACAACATGTCTTTAACTTTAAGTAAGAGTTGCATCTTAAGTCAAATATGGAATCTTTTTTCATTCTCATACAGAACCAGAAGATATCACCAGTGTCGACGTGAGTCTTCTGGAGAATAATGTGATCAAAGCAACCTGTAAGGGACCCAAGAATGTCTTTGGCGATAAGAGGAGATACAGAGCATATCTTCAGAATACACATGTCAAACCACTTGAGAACAACAACTGTGACTTTGAATTCAGAGACCTGAGCTACTCTACGAGCTACATAGTGGTGGTTGGTATAATTTCATTCTTTTAATTCTTCTGAATCTTCCTGTTCTACTCCTCATATATTGCTGGACAGTGTGATTCTTAATGATGTTCTGTCTTTATAGGTGATTTTTTTCAATGAAGCGTTTGAGAGCAATCCCACGACTGAACAAATTTCCACTAAGTGTATGTGCTCTTTAATGTGATTCTCTTATTTATTCAGATAAATCGTTTTGACGCATTTTATTAAGACATTCAATAACGTACATGTTGATTTTTGACATGAATACTGCTGCTTATTTTACAGACAATGACAAAGCTCTCATCGGGTTTCTGGTCTTCCTCATCATCCTCACCTCGGTGGCTCTGCTCTGGGTCGTGTACAAGATCTACGTTCTGAAACGCAGAAGACTGCAGTAAGAATCTCTCTTCAGATGTCACATAAATCATGAGTTGGCGTCACAATCGGGCTGCTTCTGCTTTTGTTTTGCATCGATAAACCTGCAGGGCTTGTTTTGCTATTCTTGCTTTACTATTTTACGAGGCAATATGCTTTCATTCACAGGGCAGACATCCCTGTTCTTTAAGCATTGGGCATTCAATAGAAACATCATTGGTGTTAACAAGCTCTTTATTTGGACCTTTTCTCTCCATCTTATAATCCATGAAATTCAAACATGTCTTCACTATTTTCTTTACAGGGATGAGAGTGAAAACATTCATCTTATTTCAACAGCAAGTGAGTCTTTTTTTTTCCTTCTCTTGCTTTTGTTTGTTTTTATCTGATCAGTTCGTGCTTTACTTTTACAGGAAGGAAGTTAGTGCAGTATGTCCACATACATATGACATACAGTCGTCCTCACATTTATTCATACCCTCCCATTAAAGAAGGGAGAAAAAAAAAACACTGAAATAAGTTGAAATTGACTAAAGTAGAGCCAATCGCTGCCATCAGGTGTTTTCTGTAACTCTCAGTCAGACTTCTGCACCTGTTGACAGCTATTTGGATTTCACTGCTCATCAGCAAAGGCCTCTCATTTGTCCAGGACAGTTGGTTTTTGTTTTTTTTTAATTATTCTTGTCGACCACAATTCAAAAGCAATGTCTGATTTCACTAAATTATAATTTAGCAAATTTTTATTTATTATTACTTTTTTCAGTTTCTAGTTATTTGAGTGACTGTTGGGAACTTTGCGTTTTCTTTAATGGAAGGATCTGAATACATCTGAGGACGACTGTATATATTCTGTGACCTTGCATCAAACAGTTTGTTCTGCAGTCTGTTTCCCGTCTCAGTACTGCCCTGATTGTTTCCAGAAATGCTTAAATTATAGTTGTCGAGTGATTATTATTTTATCAAAAAGAAATAATCAATAGTGACATGACGACATGGTCAAGGTCACACAAGTATCTGATCATGAGATCAGCCATGAAGCGACCTGCTGCAGGAGATCCACTCACACACAGGTGGACAGTCGTCATATACACATGAACAGCAGCGAGAGGTCAAAGTCAGCAGACAAAGGTCACATGAAACTCGCAAAACAGAACCAGAAAAAGTCTAAATTCATATCCAGTGTGAGAATAAATGATACTAATGTCAAGGGGGTCATCCAACATGCTCCCTTGTTCTGTTTTGTTTTTCTTCCACTGTACCTACATTTAAAAACCAGCAGGACCCGGTATTTATATTATATATTTTATATATGTACGTATTTACAAACTACAATATTGTCTTGATGATGCAGAAGCAATAGGTAATTAAAACAGCCATCAATATTTTAAAAAAGCACAGTTATTTAGTGGCTATCATGACTTAGTGTTATTACAGTATTGCATTATTTATTGCACTTTGCATCGCGTCAAACTGTAGATGATTTAAATATCTTCAGAACCCAACCTGCTAATATTGCATGCAGCTCTGAGCACAAACTACGCCCATGATAAGTATCAAATAGGAAGTTGCAGAATTTTCTGTTCATGTTCAAAGCTTCCCATTTTGTGACTGGTTGTTGTAGACGATGAAGAAAGCCTGCTGCCCGTGGAGCCGATCGGAGCAGAGATTCTGCTGGAAACCTACAAGAGGAAGCTGGCCGACGAGGGGAGACTTTTCCTGGCTGAGTTTCAGGTAAATTCATTTTTGGGGATTATTAATAATTAAATTATTGATAATATATATATACTTTATTACTGTAGTCTCTACTGGAAATACCTCCTTTTCTTCATTGTCTTTGCTTTAATATTTTATATCAGTCACAGGTCAGTCCCAGTTGTTTCACGTCAGATAGTGTGTTTGTAATTTTATGGATATTTTATGCATTTCAAAAACACAGACTTGATCCGTGGAGGTTAGTTGTGCATGTCGGGGCCTTGGTCAGCTGTGAAGTAGAAACAGTACGAGTAGGTGTTTTGTTTTGTTTTTATCTCCCGTCAAATGACACCGTTTGTTTTTGCTTACAGAGCATCCCCAAAATCTTCTCAAGGTACACGGTGAAAGAGGCCAAAAAATCCTGCAACGTCCCCAAGAACCGCTACGTGGACATTTTGCCCTGTGAGTCGGTCTGAAATGACTTTTCACATAGCAGAGATACATGGTGTCATGAAAATGAACCTACAGGCAGCAAATCTCATCATCAGTCATTCCCTCGTAACTGAAGTTTTGCAAAACGGCTGTATGAACATTTGTACTGTGATGGACGCTGTCATGCCATGGATGATGTGGATTCACAGGGTTGTTGATATGAATGTAAGACTGGTATTACTGACCAGCTTCTTAAAAGACCCTCCAGAACTCTTACCACTCGTTCTTTAAAGGTGTTTGGGGTTGTTAGGATGTCCTCTGTAAAAGGCTGTTCTCCTGTTTTGACCTAGATGACTATAACCGGGTCCAGCTGAGCACAGGAAACGGCGAGGCAGGATGTGACTACATCAACGCCAGCTTCATTGATGTACGTGAAACACTTAAACGACATCTCTGCTGTGTTTACCACAGAAACATGAATAGTAAACACTGTTAAACCTAGAACAAATGTGAAAATGTAAAAGTATGCGTGAGGACCCAAGACGATGTTCAAAGAAATGACACATCCAACTGAACATCGCTTCTTGTCTTCCTGCAGGGCTACAAGGAATCCAAAAAGTACATCGCAGCTCAAGGTAAAGTCCTGTTCTCCTGTTCCTGATGTGTACTTGCATTACTTTATGTAATCCACTACATGTGTGCTGTGTGTGTGTGTCGTAGGGCCGAAGGACGAAACTGTGGCCGACTTCTGGAGGATGATCTGGGAGCAGCAGTCCTCTATCATCGTCATGGTAACACGCTGCGAAGAGGGAAACAGGGTAAGAGAGACGGGGTGTTAGACTGCTGGCAAAGGTGAAGAGTAACTAACTACAACTTTATTTAAGGGCTGTACTTAGATACAATTTAGAGGTAATTTTACTTTACTTGAGTATTTACATTTTGTTTTACTTTATACCTCCACCACACTTCAGAGGGAACCATTGTGCTTCCTGCTCCACACCATTCATTTCACAGCTTTAAGATTAAAAATGTACATAATGGATGACACAAAAACCTATCAAAATACANGTCAGACTCACCTCACTGCCTCCAGCATCATTCAGCTGCTGCTGCTCAACACATAAAACCTTTTTTTTCTTTTTTTGCTATTTCCAGCTAGACGTCTGTACGTATGAGCTGAAATAAACCCTCCAATCTATTTATTTCAGTCCTGTCGTCTTTATCTTCAGCCGGGGTCATTGTTTCTGCCGTTCAGTGTTTGTCAGCTTACGTGTGAAGTGAGTCATCATGGTAGACCGCATTAACGGACGCCTCTGGCTTATATATAGCTCCACTTTTCCATTAATCATCCATTAGTTTATGATCCAGACATGGTGCAATGTCAGACTGAAAGTTTAACCTTTTAAAAAGAAAAGAAGCCAGAACTGACGACTCAACTTTATATAACACGCATTTAACAAGGCAGCTGAACGTATAATTAGCAGGTATTTAATCTGTTGATCATGTGTATGTATTCTGGATAAACTTTCATTTGATTCTTCTGTCATGTAGGCAGTCGGATGTCTCCTTGAGATTCAAACATTCTGTTGAAAAAGGCCACATTCATGTTGGATCTGCACAGTTACTTTTATTTTTATATTTTTATCTTGTACATTGTTCCTCACTGTGCATATTTATTGCTGCACCAACCCACCAGAACAAACTCCTCGTATGGTGCAAACTATACCTGGCGATAAATCTGTTTCTGATTCACGCGTGCACATTATTGGGTTTTAATATAATAACAAATAGAAGAAAACACAATCCGGTTCAAAACTCTGCTCAGTTTTCTTTTTTCTAATTGCTGCTGAGCAAGTGGAGGGTCAGCTCAACTGCTGAAGCCAAAGATCATGAGAGCGCCGGTTTCATTTGCAGCCGTGCCACATTTAATATGCAGCCCGCTTCGGCTGCAGCAGGACGGAGCTGCGCGATCAAAAAAAAAAGTTGACCACTTCCGTGTTCCATTCTGAATTGCCTTCATTTCCTGGCAGAGCCGAGCGGTGCGGGCCCCGAGCGGACTGAGACGGCGCACAAGTTAATGACTTGAGAATTCACGAAAAAAAAAGGGGAAGCACAGTGTGTAAAATAAGGAAGTGAGGTCAGAAATGTTAAGCATGCTGCATGATTAAAGCAGTTTCATGGAGGAGGGGGAGTCAGGGACGTTGCTCTGCGGTGAATGCAAAACATGAGAGGAAAGAACAGACAGATTTAAAAAAAGAAAAGAAAAAGCTCTGATGGAGAACAGTGATAGAGGGAGAGCTAATGAGACAGACGTTGCATCAGTTGCTTTACTAACATGTGCATTTATGTGTGGCGTCTGGCATTTGTTCCCTCACTGTGGTTGTCCGTACTTCTGCCGCCGTCTTCCTCGACTTCTGCTTCATCTTCCCTCCAACAAACCTCGAACAGGCAGTGCGAACAAGGCACTTTGCCCTGACCACAGCGAAAAAGAAAGTACCCAAAAGACGCACTAAACCGGTAAACACCTTTCAAAACGAGCAGATCGGGTTGTTTTTATTATTACAGTTTTCATTTTCAGGCCTTAATGTGTCTGAGACAAGCGAAGAGTTCATTTGGCAGAACAGATAACTCCAGTTTGTTGTTTGTTTGAGATAACATCAACCAAACCGAAGCTGAGTGGATTCGACTCAGTAGAGGTGACGTGACAGAAACAGAGATAACTGATCGATATCGTCTCAGGTAGACGATGGAAAAGTGGGTTTTCTGAAGGCTGGTGAAGACAGAGTTATCTGTTTTTGCAAATGAACTCTTCAAGTTGTAGTATCGCTACAGCTACCTTCAAATGAAGAGTTCTCACATCTGAAATACTCAGGAAGCGCATCTCTCCAAGCTTCCCTGAACCCACTCAGATCTGTCGCCTTCAGAACTAATAACTGACACAGTGAGTGTGTACAGAGTGGTGAAATGTCACTGCACAGAGCATGCATCGCTGCTCGATACAGTGAAACAAGAAGGCGCCAAACCACATCCTGACACTCACTGTTTCGACTGCCTCCTGTCACCTTATCGTTCACGGCGCATTGTTGCTTCTACAAAGAGCAAATGGCCAGAACACCTCAGCTGCAGCACGTTCATTCCTGTGATGACAGATGGAGGGACACATGCCCACGTTCACATCACAAGTCTTTTCACTTTGCAGACTTTTAAAAGCAGAAAATACTAAAACCTACAGAGAACATCATTTTTATTTTAATAAGTGTTTGGTGATGTTTGTGTTTGTTTGGTTGTTTTTTTTTTTTGGTCTAAAGTGCATTCATGAGCCCGTGATACGGCCAAACTGAAACCAGTTTTGTAAGTACGGGATGGTTCAGGGTTTTAGTGCAAGGCAGGAAATCGCGGTTTGCTTTCTGAAATAGCAAGTGTGGCTTGTTTCCCACATCGTCATAGCAACCAGGTTGTACAGCGCTGCCTCATTCACACGACCTCTGGATGAGCAAAACTGTCATATAGATTTATATATTAACGTGGCCTCAAGTGACCTGTGGAAATTCTAATACATACCTGTGTGGAAAAACAGCTGAAGGTGTAAAGTATTTTCCACAGTGTGGTTTGTCCACGATGTGCCTACCAACATGCAGATATGTACAAATTATGTACATTTCATTCTAGTTCCTGCTTATTTCAGAAAATGTTGCTACTCCAAAGCAATATGAAACACATCTATAGTGCACAGTTAATTTGGATTTTCCATTTATTATATGTGTTTGTGATAAAAAATCATTTTTAAAATAGTTTCTTTTAATGAGTATAAACAACAGACATGATCACTGCTGAAGTTTGGGTTACAAGTTGCTCCTAGATCACAGGCAGCACTTGTCACTTACAAGGTGTTTTGGAAAAGTATTGAAGATTTCTCAAGCTGCATATTCATATAATAATGTTTTGTTTTATTCTCTCCTCCTCTCATATAAATGTGTCCTGCTGCCCTCCTACCAGCCCAAGAACCTCCACCGCGTAAGTATCAGTTTAAAGGATAATCCATCTTGTGTTTCACACATTTGCAGTAATTGTGTCTACAGTCTGAGTTTCTCTCTGACTTTACACTGAATACAGTAAAAGGTTTATTATTATGTTGTTTTCTTTTTTACTGTGAGTGTATTGGATGTATTTCGTTCACATCTAAGTCCAACACAGGAAGTAGTTTAGCATCCACAGAATGACTGTTCTACATTTTCCCATTTGTGATTCAACTGGCTTCCTTTTAAACTGAGCTAAAGCAGCCTAACCATAACTCGCTGCATAGCTTTAGCACCATGACTTGAGGGTCTGTCTGAAATCATGAGCCAAATATGACAGTGTTTAAGCATCATGTATTTGT